TTTTTGGCGTTGTTGTTGATGTAATTGGTGTTGTTGCTTGATGTTGCTGTTGTTGCTGATGTTGGGTTGGTGTTGTGTAATTGGTGTTGTTGTTGATGTTGGTGTTGTTTGATGTAGTTGGTGTTGTTGTTGTTGCTGTTGGCGTTGTTGTTGATGTTGGTGTTGGTGTAATTGTTGTTGTTGTTGTGTTGGCGTTGTTGTTGATTTTGTGATGTTGTTGTGGTGTTGTTGTTGGCGTTGTTGTTGATGATGTTGGTGTTGATGTATTGGCGTTGTTGATGTTGGTCGGTGTGGTGTTGATGTTGTTGATGTCTTTGTTGTTGTTGGCGTGTTTGGTGATGTTGTTGTTGTTTTTAGTTGTTGGCGTTGTTGTTGATGTAATTGGTGTTGTTGCTGATGTTGGTGTTGTTGTTGGCGTTGTTGATGTAATTCGTTGTTGTGATGCTGATGTTGTGTTGTTGTTGTTGTGTTGTTGTTGTTGTGTAATTGGTGTGTGGGTTGTTGTTGGCGTTGTTGTTGTTATTCTTGCGTTGCTATTGTTGGCGTTGTTGTTGTGTTATGATGTTGGTTGTTGATGTATGCGTTGTTGATGTTGATGTTGGTGTTGTTGTTTTTGTTGTTGTTGATGTTGGTGTTGGCGTTGTTGCTGTTGATGTTGATGTAATTGGTGTTGTTGTTGATGTTGGTGTTGATGTTGACGTAATTGTGCTGTTGCTGTCTTTGTTGTTGTTGATGTTGGTGTTGGCGTTGTTGCTGTTTTTTGTTATTCTTTTTGTTGTCCCCTTGTTATTGTTTTTATTCTTGTCGTCATTTTTTCTTGTTGTTGTTGTTTTGTTGAATTAATCATCGCCTTTGCCAGCATCACAGTCATCCTCACCATCTTCATACTGTCTATGGCATCGGCATCAGAATCAGCCAGTCATTAATGTTTTTTATTATTTTTATTTCATTTTATTATTTTATTATTATTATATTCTATTATTTATTTCATATTTTTATTTATTTTATTTATCATTATTTTATTTTATTTTATTATTATTTTTATTTTGTTATTATTTTGTTATTTTTATTATATTTCATTTATTATCATTTATTATATATTTTTATTATTATTTTATTATATTATTTTATTATATATTTATTATTATTTTATTATATTATTTTTTTATCATTTTTATTATTAATTAATATCCTTTTTATAAAAAAGAAAAGAAAAAAAAATATTTAGTAGAGTACTTATATGACTGTTTCATTGTTTCAGGTGTGTTGGATTCCCCTTTTCCGAAGACCAGTAGACGGGAGGTAATTATCAGTTTCATTAATTTGCATAAGTGATTAGTGCATGTATCAGGGATGTGCATGGGTGTGTGTGGGTGCGTGTGTGCGTCTGTGTGCGTGTGTGGTGTGTGTGTGTGTGTGTGTGTGTGTGTGTGTGTGTGTGTGTGTGTGTGTGTGTGTGTTGTGTGTGTGTGTGTGTGTGTGTGTGTGTGTGTGTGTGCTGTGTGTGTGTGTGTGTCCGTGTCCCTGCTTGCGTGTGTCTTTATCTGTATAGCGAGTGTGTTGTGCCTGTGTGTATGTGTATTTTTATATGTATGTAATAATTCTGAAAAGAGCAAGTATGGCTGTTTTGTGTCGCGTTAAATTAAACACTGTTAATATCCCGAAGCGAAGAACCTAAGAGTCGTGTCCGGCAGTAAATTTATAAATTGCAAGTCATTTGCCTCTGCACGTACATATGTAGAAGCATATATACGCCGAAGACATTTGTACGTATGCGTTTACTTACACTATATACGTCCTTAGAAAACGTGTAGCTTCATACGCACACACGCACACATATAAAAATAATCAGATACGCTCAAACACACATACACTTACATACTCACACACATGCACGCACGCACGCACGCACACGCACACGCACACGCACGCACACACACACACACACACACACGCAACACACACACACACACACACACACACACACACACACACAACACTCACACCACACACACACACACACACACACACACACACACACACACACACAAACACACGCACAAAAAGAGCGAAAAAACGAGAACCCGGTAATAGTTGAGTCTCCCCTGAAATGACGTTCAAAGCCCAGTTCTTTTTGGTGTATGTAAATATTGTTCTTATTCGTCATTTTTTTTGCTTGTGCTTTTACCCGAAGCAGACATTTTCTATGCAAGACTCTTGTTGTCTTTGATGGCAGTGCTATAGGGGATATTGCTTTCTCATTTGCATGCTAATTATTTTTCAGTCTGCTTCCTCATTCTTTCCGTTTTCTGTTGCTTTATCTCTTTCTCTGTCTTCGACGTACCGTTTCTTTCTTTTTTTATGTATTTTATGTACTTTTCATTTCTTTTTCTGTCTTTCTTTTATCATCAATATTATTAGTTTTACCTATATTATGATTAATTCTAACAATAGTAATAACGATAATAATGGTTATACTAATGATAATAAAAAAACAATAATCATAATGATAATAATAAGGTTGATAATGATCATGATCATAATGATAATGATAGTTATTATTATGATTATAATGATGATGATTATGGTAACAACAACAGTGATAAGAGTAATAATGATAATAATAATAATGATAATGATAATAATGATTAGTAAAAATGGTGATAATAACAATAATAATAGTAATAGCAATAACAACCACAACAATAGCAACAATAACAATAATCATAATAATGATAATGATAATTTTCATAATGGTAATATTAGGAATCATAATGATAATAGCAGTAATAATGATGTTAAGATAATGATAATATTATTAATGATAACAACGATAGTAATGATAATACCTGAAATGAAGATAACAGCAACATTAATAATGATTATAATCATCATAATGATCATTATCATGAATCTACTTATTTTTATTTCATTTTTCATCAATCAACTTATTTTGATCCTCCCACCCTCCCCCCCCTCTCCCCCCCTTCCCCCTCTCTCTCTCCCTCCCTCCCCCTCTCCCTCCCTCCCCCTCTCCCTCCCTCCCCCTATCCCCCCCTCCTCCCCCCTCCCTCCCCTCCCCCTCTTCCCCCCCTCTCCCTCCCCCTCTCTCTCTTTCTCTCTCTCTCCCTCCCTCCCCCCCCCCCCCCTCTCTCTCTCTCTCTCTCTCTCTCTCTCTCTCTCTCTCTCTCTCTAATTGTCTCCTACTTTACTGCTGATGAATGGCGTATGTTAGGCATCATTCTCCTGAAATACAATCATTCCACTCAACAATTGATTCATCTCTTCTCCGGGATTATAATTATATATTACGTGCGCATATTTTTTGTGCGCTGTATTTGATTATGCAAGCCCAGGAGAGGACTTATCTGGATGAGGGTGGGAGTGTTATATCACCTTAAAGATATGTAAGCCAATGACTCTGAATTCTTGTAATGCTTGTAATTCTTTATAAATTAGGTGCTGTATTTGATTTTAAATATTTTTGTACCTAAGTTTTGTATAATGAATTGTGAGCCCGCATAGGGACTTATTAAGTAAGGGTGAGGATAACCTAAGTTACCTCATCCTTTTGAGATGTAATCTTACTTTTGTCTCAAT